GTTTTTTCTCTTTTGCAGCTTTCAGTATTGTCTCTTTGTTTTGTACGTTTAATATCTTTACTATGATGTGCTGTGGAGAATTTCTTTTCTGGTTCTGTCTGTTTGGTGTTCTATATGCTTCTTGTATTTGTATGGGCATATCTTTCTTTAATTTTAGGAAATTTTCTTCCATGATTCTGTTGAAGATCTGGTCCATGCCATTATCTTGGGATTCTTTTCCTTCCTGTATGCCTGTGATTGATAAGTTTGATCTTTTTATGCTGTCACATAATTCCTGCATATTCCATTCTTTTGATTTCTTAAATTTTTCATAATCTTTGCTTGAGTGGTCTAGTTCATCCACTTTTTCTTCCAGTCTTGATACTCTGTTTTCCATCTCATTAATCCTGTTGTTGAGGCTTTCTCCTGTCTTTTCTAATTGGCTTATTGAGTGTTTCATTTCCTTCTTCATTTCAGCCTGAGTATTCTTCAATATTTCTCTTTTCTGAATTCATTCAGAAGTTTATCCCTATCTTCCTTCAGTTCTTTGATTTCTTTGTTTGTGTGTTATTTAAATTCACTGAATTCTTTTATCATGTTTATAATTGTTCTTTTTAGTTCCATGTCCTGCATTATCCCTAGGGGGTTCTCATTGTACTCCTCTAGAGAAACTAATTCTCCCTCCCTCAGCATCTGTTGATTGCCTGTGGCTCTTCATCTAGAGGTGGGATCCTGTGTAATTTCCCTCATCTACATAGCATGTCAACTGGTTTTGGCATTATGCAGATCTTGTTTGACTACATACAGAGAAGAAGACCTCATCTCTTAACACAATTACATGGTGGGCTAGGATTTCAGCTGTTGTACTCTGGGGAAGCAAAAACATTGATTCTTAACACCCCTCCTTGACAAATAAAGGAGATAATGAACAGGAACAAACTCACCCCCCCTCTGTTTCTTTGTCTTTCTATCCTGTATTTGTTCCTAAGATGACACCAGCTTCCCCAGGAAACAGAGAGTCCTATCACACTCCATGATACCTTTGATCTGGCCAGCTCCTTATGAATATTATATTCAGGAAGTTCCCAGTCTCTAGATTATCAGTCAATCCTGAAGCTTATTCCACCCCAGTCCTTATTGGTCATCTATTTGCATCCATACCACTTTTAAAATAATTGTCTGATTTCAATAATTACTCTTAGTAAGACATGGAATTTTCAGTGTGCCTATGTTAATTTTACACTAACCCTTGCTTAATTACCTCTCTCCCCTCAGGGACGATGGCTTATCTACCAGGAACACTAAGGGAACAGCGACCCTCTACCACATTCTCCCCAAACTATCTTTCCTTGAAGGTTGGAGTTGCTCTTGGGCATCATGCACTGTCCCTTTGAGCTCCTATCATTTTGATCAATGTCCCTGTCTTAGTAAGTTCAGGTTGTCATCACAAAGCACCATAGGCTGTGTGACTTAAACAACAAACATTTGTGCCTCATAGCTCTGGAGGCTGAAGGCCAAGATGAAGGTGTTGGCAGATATGGTCTCTGGTGAGGATTTGCTTGCTTCCTAGTTTGCCAACAGCTGTCATCATTATGTCCTTCAATGATGGCAGAAGACTACTAGCTTTTTATTCCCTTGTAAGAATGCTAATTCTGCAAAAGGCTTTCTGCTCTCATCTACAAGTCATTTAAGTCTAATTATCTTCCAAAGCCCCACCTCCAAATGCTATCTCATTGAGGGTTAGAATTTCAGCATATGAATTTGGAAGTGAGGGAGACATAAACATGTAGACCATGAGGAACTGTAGCCTAGCTTTGTTCACATTATTCTGTGGCTGTCAATGCATGTATCTGCCTCCCTGTCAGTATAGTGGAGTTCCAAAATGACAGGGACATAATTTTTCATTGTTTTTCCATTTGCAGTGCCTAGGACAGTTCCTGGCACATCTTCCCTCCTCTTCCTTCTTCCATTCTGACATGGACTAAATGCAGACTCCGAAGGCAGGAGATAACAGCCATTTCTTTAAAATCTCAGCATGATGTGGAGGAGGCAGGTAATTCAACATGAACACAGCACAGTGCACTGAGCATGAGTGCAATGTGCTTAGAATGCCAGGGCCCTTGGAATAGACATGTTCTTGATAGGAATGGAAGAACCAGTGGCCACGAAGGTTCCCAAAAGAGGAAGTGGTGTGTGGAGATTGGCAAGCTGAAGGAGGGCTGGCTTGATGGCGAAGACGGCATCGAGTTCTAGAAATGCATAACTGGAAGCCTGGCCCCATTTAGGGGAATAATACCCAGAAAAGAAAGAGGAAGAGAGGCAAAGAGGGTGCACGAAGACATGCCATTCTGAAAATATTGGCGTCACAGGGGGCAGGCTCCATTGCTGCAGGGATCTGATGATGTCATAGTCACAGGCCAAAAAGTTGGGCTGTGGTTGAAGAGTGAAATAGTCTTAAATGTCAAGTTAGCATGTTAGTCTCATTAGCAAGAAGCATCCAATAGAGCTCAGTCTCTTCCTAGCCTAAAAAGCCTTATATTTAAATCCATTGGTCAATAAGAAAGCATATAGTCAGAAACTGTCTAATTGCCTATTTAATTAAAATCATTGATTTTTTAAAATGGCCGTGAAGATAACAGGGCCTTTGTTATTTAAGAATCAATGAATAATGTGGTATCAACTTTGGTGGAATAATGAAGGTTTCCATTAGCTCTGTTTCTCTCTCTCTCTCTCTCTCTCTCTCTCTCTCTCTCTCTAAATCTTTACAAGTTTATTGGGTTTGCTAACGGAACATAGGGTAGGGGTTTATTTACAGAAGAGTGGGATAAATCAGAGGATGATGACAAACTGAAGTAAGAAAACAGTGATAGAAGATTCATTTTCAGATAAAGCTGAGTCAATTTAAAAAATGAGGACAGGCGTTCTAAAATATGCATGTTGGGCACCTCAGGAACTGCTTCATGCACAGACGTGAGTCCTGCTGTGCCACGGGTCTTTAGAAACCAGCTTCCTTGTTTTGAGGAACCCACAGGCAAGTGTTACATATTTATTACTTGCACTCTAATTTAGCTACTCTAAATCTTGGCTTCTTAAACTTTTTCCACTCATGCTCCCTCTTTTTAAGCCCAACTTTATATACATATATACATATATATATATATATAAAATAAGAACACAAAACAAACATTTACTGATAATAAATCATAAATATGTATTTTAAAACAATTTTTTGTATAATATAATTTTACTATTTATTAAAGATAAAAACAAATTTGTATATTAATGAGATGCATGGGTTTATTTTTACATAAAAATTAAATCTTTGTTGAATATTTTATGCTAAGTTGGACATGGTGGCTTACACTTGTAATACCAGAGCTTAGGCACAAAGATCACCTTGGTTTGGGGGCCAATCTGAGCTACATAGTGAGTTCTAGGACAACTAGGGCTAGACCATAAACAAAAATGAAAGCAATCCCACCAAACAATTGATAATGCAAGATCAAGAATATTATTAATGTTTCTCAACGTTGATCCACATTTTGATTCTATAATTGTCAACACAGAGAATGCTGCTTTGCACAAATAAATGATAAAAAATAGAAGAAGTATGTTTAGCCCTGTTGCAGAAATTGTTGGAAATCCCAGGACAAAATTCATTTAACAAGATGTTTTGAGACTCAAGTCAGCAACTCAAATAGGAATTTTAATATTCAGACATTCTAACACAATACAATCCAAATGTGCAATTTGATACATGCTGAAGAATGATGGCAAGAATATGTTAAAAATCTTAATTTCTGCTAGGCGTGGTGGTGCACACCTTTAATCCCAGCATAGGCAGGAGGCTCTCTGTGAGTTCCAGGCAGCTGGATCTACATAGCAAGTTCCAGGCTGGTTGGTGCTACATAGTAAGACTTGTCTTAAAAAAAGATAAATAAAATAAAATAAAATATAAAGTTTTATTTTTTTGTAATTAAATTGATATTTTTCTTTTAAGAGATGGAAACTCGGTATGTACAGTTAAAACAATGTAACTCGTAACATACGGTAGCCTGAATCTGGGTCAAGGTGTTTCGGGCAGTGTTTCTTGGTGTCGCCTGGTGTGTTGGGATGCTCACTGCAGAGTGTTCTCTCTGTGTGATCAGAATTAAGGCTCCAGTGTAGTTACATGATGTGACATTGGCAAGCACTGTCACAAATACCTTGGATTAAGCATACACCTGATTCTGAATTACATTTTGGTCATTGTGTGTTCAGAAACCTTATAGTAATTTTTTTTTTTTTTTTGCAATCCCTATAGTCAGTTATATAAGCATGACCCACACCTGTGTTCTAAATAAAGAGATGTTTTGTGTGTAAAAGCTTGAAGAGCTGTTTTTAAAGTGCGAATTTGTCTGTGTTTTTGTTAGGTCAATGTGAGCCAATTTCTCTGGAACTCTGCATGAATTTGCCCTACAACCATACACATTATCCAAATTATCTTGGCCACAGGACTCAAAAGGAAGCATCTATCAGCTGGGAGTCCTCTCTCTTCCCTGCACTTGTTCAAACCAACTGTTACAAATACCTCATGTTCTTTGCTTGCACTATTTTGGCTCCCAAGTGTGACGTGAACACTGGCCAACGCATCCCCCCTTGCAGGTAATGTAATGGGGTCTACCCCAGGCATCTGCAGGCTATCTCAGGGAGAACCAAGGGAACAAAGAGTTGTTTCTACGTAAATTAATATTGCTTAGGGATCTGAGCTTAAAAAATCCTAAAGATAAAGAAGTAGGAGTCACAAAGTGAGTATTTGAGTAAAATTTCACTATTCAGGTACCAAATGTGGAAGGTGTGAATTTCCTTTGATGATAGATCATGTGCTTTAATCAAATAAGATCATATGTGTTCCATTTTGGTGGATCAAGAAGCAATTTTTTTAATGGTGGGGCTGGGGTGTAGCTCAGTGATAGAACATGTGTTTAACATGTATGAGGCCCTGTGTTGCATTAACCAAAATGCAAAGTTAAATAAAATATGAGTGAGCTGAGGAAGGGCTGTGTCTGCCCCTTTTTTCTGGCAACATTGGTATGTTTATTTTTTAAATTCGTTAAATTTGTTTGTCACTGATGTGTTTAAAACACTGTACTCTGGTAGCTCGTAAAAGTTAGAGCTATTACACAAGAGACAAAAGTAGACGCCAGTCTACTTGTTGGGCAGTGATAGGCACCACAGACATTTTTCTTCGTAACAAAATTAAGAGCATTTCAAGACTACAGTTTCAGCCTTGGGTATGAGCAATATCCTAAGTGTTGGAACCATTGTTATAAAGCCATTGTCCGAGTTTAAATATTCTCTGGCTGCTTTGTGTTCTCAAGACAAATCCCCGGTCTCTTTGGCCACAAATTCTTAGCTGGTGAAATAAATATGATGTTTACTTGGTTTGTTACCGTGGAAGCTCAGAAGATGGTGAATTCAAATAAAAATAAAGTGCCTTGAAATGACTGAAAACCCTGTGGTGACTGGCACGGCTATAGTGATTGCTCCCAACGTCACTGTTTGGTGGCAGTTGTGTTTCCCTTCTGTGCCACATGTGAGAGATGTAGTGGCACAATGTGCATGCAGGAGATGACTATCCCAGGAGTCACCGCTGCCACTCTCTGCCCTCCGCAGTGCTGCTCTGTATCAGGGCTGTCCATGCAGTCGTGCTCGCCTGAGCCCAAGTGGCAAATACAGAAACCATCTGTTGGGATCAGAAGTCACCCAGAGCTTAAGGAAAAAGAAACAATGACAGCAGAGTGGACAGCAGGGAGAACAATAAATTAAATGCTGGCTTTCAAATAGAAGACAAACCAGGGCATCTACGGGGTAGGGCAGGAAAAGATAAAATTTCAAGATGACTTGAGCAGCTGAAGACCTCATACAAAATGAAGAGAGCAAAACTTTAATGTTCGCATAGACACAGATAATTCTGAAAATTTTGTTTGCTGTCCTTTAAAGTACTGGTGATAGAGACTAGAGTGTGCACTAGTTTCATGTTGAAAAGTTATAAATCTTACTCGTAGTTTGCTAAATAAGGTCAAAGGGGATGGCAAAGTCTTACTTTGAATAGTACTTCACGTAGTCTGATTTCTTTTTATAGTTACATACAATTTCCTTAATTTATCATTCTTAACTATGGATATAAATGTATATCCATATATAGTTTATGATTTCAGGGACTAAGTTTAGTAACTTAAAATGACTGAATTGTAACTGGTTCTGAGAGATTATTGGGCAAACATTTCAGTGAACATCTTTTGGATACTTTAAACCTTTTTCATAGTTTTCCTGAGAAGCCTGTCCTCTTCAATGCCAGCAGTATAAAATTTTTGATATTTTGATATTTGGCATCTATTTATAAAAGTTTTTATTGTGACAAAATAATATGTTCCTAAGTTTATGAACCAATTCATAGTTGTTTCTGAAAAGTCTGTTTACTAACATTTGATTTTTAAGTTATTTACCTAAAGAAAATTGGTATTATTGAACCCTTATACTGTGATAAATCCTTATGCTTCCTATTCAAAATGATCTTTGAATGAGGTCTGATACATCACAGTGGCATCTGTGGCTTAGTACCACGCCGATTTGGAAATGAGCAATGCCTCTTTGGACTTCTGATGCTGCTTACTAGTATTATATTTTATAGAAAAAAAAAATCAGTAATGATAGTCAGACACTCTGTAGTCTTCCTTTATAGAAATGAGGAATTAATGTTACCGTAACATGACAGTTACAGCTGAGTTTATACATTTGTTGTAAGTCTGTAGCAGAATTCTTTAGTCCAACAACTAGTACTTAAACAATACTGAATTTGCCAATTTTGCAGACTGAGTGTGAGAATTTCCCATATTCATCTTTGTCTAACATTCCAAGCCTTAATTAGCAACTGAATCTTATCTTTAAAACAAACAAACAGTATTAGTCAAAACTGAAGAGGAGGAAGCAGAGGCAGTGCCTTGTGTAAGCCAGCTTAGCACATGAGCCCTGACTAATCAGAGTTCTCAAGAGGAGACTTACATAGAGACTTCATGAGCTGTGGTGACAGGCTATAGGAAGTGACACTGGGGATTTCTCTGCTTAGAACAAAATGTTAGAGAATATGTTTGCTTGAAAGACTGAAAAGTCAAAAGCCAAAGGGAATGGGATCTGTATCTTGGAAACAATATTATTTTTCTTTCTACCATAAAGTCTCTCTTGTTGAAAGTGGGCTTTGCTGAAATGAATTTTCTTTGTAGAGATACTGTTTCAGTTTCCTAAATACCTATTACATATATCTGCATGCCGATGTATTTGTATACACCTCCCATACATACAGATCACAAAGAATTAAAACCCACCTATGCTCCTAGTATATATTCCCACAGAGCTATATGGCTTCTGACATTTTGTCTTTCTGCTCTCTTAGAGCCCTATGTGAACACTCCAAAGAGCGTTGTGAGTCTGTTCTTGGGATCGTAGGTCTGCAGTGGCCTGAAGATACCGACTGTAATCAGTTTCCAGAGGAAAATTCAGATAATCAGACTTGCCTCCTGCCTGATGAAGATGTGGAAGGTTAATGTTTAAGTTTATTGCAGTGGGGCATCTAGCATGAATGACTATATCAGCTGTGTTTTGTATTCTGAGTTTTGGAGGTTTGTGGTTGACTCTATTTAGTAGCCAATCAGGGTGCATAGGTAAGCGACACTGAGAACTTGATCACCTTAGTAGACTCCAGCACCTGTTAGCCATTATCATTATTCTGAAAATAAAAAAGTATTTTTTTAATTATCAAAATATAAATTTAAAATTTAACAAATTAACTTCAAAAGTACAAAGTGTATTTTGTCCTCAATAAAATGACGACTGTCTCCTTATTCAAATTACAAAGAACATTTGGACAATTATTTGGGAAATTCTCCAGCTCATTTATTGAGAATTTCATAGATGCATGTAAGGTGTTTTGATCAAATCCATGCCCACTCCTCCCCTCTAACATTTCCCCCTCTGAAGAGGTAACCCTAAAATATTTTAAGGATTAGATACAAGCTCCCAAATACTTTTGATATTTTTGGCCTTTGAAACAGAGCATGTTGCTAACAGGCCCCAGGTCATTTTGGCTTTTAGCCAAGAAACTGGGTACATTTCTTTGGGGTCTTTTTACCCTAACTGCCTAACCAGTTCCTACCTCCTATTCTTATCACGCCATCCTCTGAAGGGGTTACCCAAATTGCCAATAGGGAATAGGGATGCAGACTTCTCTGGCTTTTTCCATGCTGAACAGGGTCGCAGGGTGAGTCAATTGGAGTACCCCTTCAGTGTGTCTATCTAAAAGACTCCCAAATTGCATAACTCTTGGGAAAAGAAAGTCCTTGAATCATGAATGGGAGATGTGAAGGAGAGGTAAAGGCAAGAGTAATTAGCATTACAAGTTCTAGACAGGGAACTAGAAAAAAGCCAGAACGGCAATTTTCACATGTTCATATGAGAGTCCATTGGAGTTTCTTGACAAGGGCTTCCAAAAGTGTCCCTCTATTGGGTTCCTCCTCATTTTTCTTTGTTTTCCAAGGCTGGACTAGTTGGCTGGGAAGAGTGGCTGGATACTCAGGTGAGGGTCCAGTGACCCTGCTTGGTCCTCCTTTAATGAATGAGCACAACAATCAACAAGCCCAATTGTGACTATGTTTAACCATCAAGTCATGATGATGGTAGTTATTTCATGCAGAAGGGACTGCTGTATAGCATCATCTTATTAAAAGAGCCTGGAATTTAAAAGGATTTGGTGCTAGGAGCCACATATGAGGGAGAACAAACATCGTTTGTTTTTCTGGGTCTGTGTTACTTCATTTAGTATAATAGTTTTTAGATCCGCTCATTTACCTGCAAATTTCATTATTTCGTATTTCTTTACTGTTGAATAGAACTCCATTTTGTAAATATATCACATTTTTGCTAACCACTCATCAGTTGAGGGACACTTAGGTTGCTTCCATCTCTTAGCTATTGTGAAAAGAGCAGTAATTTTAAGAAACAAAATGAGACTCAGAAATGAACTTAGTATTCTAGCTATTTATCACTTTAAGCATACTTAGTCAGACATGGCTATTTGTGGATGTTGCCCATTTACTAGAAGTCCTGAAGCTAACTATAAACACTAACTCTTAGTTCTTTCAACTGCAAAGCATTTGAAGGCCTTAGCAATGTTAGATTATTAATAGAGAAGTACAACTGAGGACTAGTCCATCAAATGGAAAGATTAGGATGAGGGCATCTGGGGAGTTAGGATCATGGTTTTCACAAGGAATTTCAGGCTCAGACAATTGTTAGGTCATTCATTTAGAAAGATAATTAGTCATCGTGAAGCACAGATGGTAAGTGTGGGTCTGGAAAGATGATGCCAAGAATGAAGGAGAAAGATGCTGATTAGCAGAGAGAAGAAAGTCAACTTCAGTTGTTTCTGCTGTATGGAGAGCTGTTCTATCTTTAGTACTAGCTGATTCACAATACTCCACATGTAAATAGATGAGTTAATTGGAGCATTTGGTGTTCTTTCCACTGAGAGTGACACTACTTTTTGACAGAGTGCTCACCCAGTCACTTCAAGTGTCACTCAGGACGATGTGTTCTGGCTTCCAGAAGATGCGATGGCCAGGCTGATTGTGATGATGACAGTGATGAAGAAAATTGTGGTATGTATGTGAGATGGAATTTTCTTTTAATTATTTTAATGATTTTTCAAGAATTTCATTCAATGTATTTTGATCACATTCAGAACCCTCCTTCATCTCTATGACCCCCCCATTACCCACCCAACTCCATGTCCTCAATTTTTCTTTTTTAATCTGTCCTCCCCAAATGCTTTCAGTATGAGTCTATTCCTTGGAGTCTGATCAACCGACCAGGTGTCACATCCCTAAAGAAAACTGACTTTCCCCGACCCAAAAGATATAAATTGCCAATAGATCCTCAGCTGTGACTGGGACTACTTGTCCACCTCCCCATCCATGCTGTACTTTTGTCTGACTGGGACTTTGACAGGTCTTGTGCACACTGTCACAAGCACTGTGGGTTCATGTACACAGCTACTCTGTAATGTCCAGACAATTGAGTTTTCTTGTATCCACCACCTTTGAGTCATAGAATCTTTCCACTTCCTTTTCAGCAGTGATCTCTGAAAATTGAGGCGGGAGAGATTATGATATAGTTGTCCCATTTAGGGCCTGGCATGCTGCAGTCTCCTATTTTCTGTAATTGTGAGAATAAAGTACTATGTTGAAATACATAAACTGTTCACTTATACTAGGAAATGGCATCTAATGAATTTGCTTCTGAAATCATCAAACTGTAGGGCACAGATTGATAGGATTTTCCTACTAACAACTATTTTTTTCTAAATTACATTTCCATTCACAACCCTAACTGTGTTTGCATGCACATATTAATGTATATTAATTTTATTGTATACATACGTGTCTATTGTAAAAAGAAAAAGGAGAGAGTTCATAAATATAAGGGAGGAATCATTTTTATTCTTAGATTACAAAGCAGTTGTTATCTGGTTTACAGAAGGAATAACAATGTCTTGATATGTCATTTCTGTGCTGTTAATTAGGCATCTTGATACACTAAGAGAGTTCAGGCAACAGCATTCAAATTTAATTGGGATTCATTTTTCATGTTCCTTCTTATTTTGTTTCTGTCTAAAAAGATAAAACTCTTCTTGACACATCTGCTGTTGAGGGCCAAAATCACCAAGGGAAAGGCTGGAAATGTCAATGGCAATTTAAATAAAGTGATTCTCATTTGATTTTTTCCTGAAAACCATGGTTCTTGTAAGCTTAGAATATGTCATGGAACAGAAAATGTACAATGCTTTTCAACAGACAGTGTTCTGGCATAAAGCTGAATGATTGAAGGGCTATCCGAAGACTAGTGTGGTTATGATTATTTAGCCTGTCATACCTCAAAATAAAATTGACACCTTATTCATTGGAAGCACATAAGGTAATATATCTTTTGAGATCATTTCATTTTTTTGGCCTTTGAAGTATGAAATATTGCCTCCCTCCTCAGAATGAAATTTCTGTAGTAAACACTGCACTTCTTTCAAGACAAAAATGCCATAAGCAATCAACCAAAACACTATCAGCTACTATAAATATGGATACGTGCAACTTCTGGAAAATTACAGCTGTCAGAATGATGGTCCAGTGGCCAGGGGTAATTCTGTTCTGGAAGAATACCCAATAATTTGCGAGTTACTAATGTTTGCCTGCTTTTGAACTTTCAGTAAAAAATAAACAAAAATTGAGTAAGAAAAATCATTGTGTATCACTTACATCAGTAGTTTGTTCAGAATGCATTAGGCTGTTCACTTAACAACTTTGGTTATGGTATTCTGAGATTCAATTTTAAGTGAATTATCACAGGTCATTTAAAGAGGTTTCACGATATGACATGCTATTGGAGTGACAGAGCCTACATTTGCAGCAGACTAAATTTGCATTTGACAAAAGCCAATGGCATCTTCTGTTTATTTTCCCAGTTTTATGCTGGGTTACTATCTGGTAGTCTCTTAGGCCACCCTGGCCAACAACTCAAAAGAAGGTATCTCCTATCTGGCATTGTTTCTTGTTACACAGCCTTTAGCTAAACATATGGACTCTTAAAAAATTATATTGGCCCCTTTAATCTTTGGCTATACTTTACTTTTTGGGTGTTTAAGAGATGTATCTTTGCTCTGGAAATTGTTATTGAGTATGTTAAAGCTGTAATGAAATGCTTCTTCTAAAAAAAAGAAAAAAAGCCAATGGCTTATGCTGGGCTTGGTGGTGCACACCTGAAATTCTAGCACTTGGGAGGCGAAGGCAGGAGAATCAGGAGGTCAAGGTCATCCTTGACTTTATCGTTTGAAGCTAGCCTGGACTGCTGCATGAAACCCTGTTTCAAGAAAACAAAATAAAAGAAACAAAGTATACTGTGTCAAAGATAAATCGTCTGCATTCTAGAATATGTTAAATATGTAAATATGTAAAGAATAAATTCAAAGTACTATAATATAGTACTTAAATGACTCCAAACTATTATATTTCTAGTTAAATAATGAGTTTTCATCAAAAGTTAAATCATACAGTTAAAGGAATACCCCAATGATAAGCTATTCAAACTTTATTTAGTCTTCAAATATTGACCACCATTGGCAGCTCTGATCTAAGACACTAAAAATTGGTAAGAAATCAATTCATTTGCATTTAATTAAGTGTTATAACTGTAACAATTTGTAAGAAAATTCTCAGTGAGCTTTCCGGTGACCTACTTCATACAAGTTCCCTTTTGGCATGTAGGTATGCACTTGAGTACTCTGTCTAGTGTGCTGGAAAGATACATTGCTGATACGAAAGTCAGGTTGACAGAGGCCTCACAGAGAACTCTGAGTAGGTCATCTACTTCTTGTTTGGCTGTTTGTCTTTGTTTTCATGTGCACATTTGCATATGTGGAAGTGGATCCGGAGAGGTCGGATTGCATTCCAAGTTTCACATCTTTCTGGTTTATTCTATCCATCATATATCAAGGCTGTTCAATTCTTGGACATTTCTGAATACTGTTAAAATTAACCATTCACTGTCATGAATCTGTAGTCCCCATAGAAGCTATAACAATACCATTGATCTTTCTCTTCAGAACAATACTGATTTCAGCTATGAAACAATTGCTATGTTAGAAACTAAATTTACCTTGTATTTATCTGACAGTTTTGTAGTTGGAAATGCAATTATCAAAACACACAATTTATAAAAACCCTTTTAAAATAAAAGCATAAGAATTTAGCAATGAGCAATATTATTCTTAATGGTCTCTAACGATAAATTTTGGCTGTAAATGCTAATGTCAACAAGAGTTGAAAGGGTTGTCAATACTAGGAATGTTTTCAACAAGCATTTGTAAGAGCTCTGTAAGCATGAAGGTGACATTGCAGAACTGATTCACAGGAGAAAAGCCCTAGAGAGAGGGGAGGGATTAGCAGAGTCAGCAGAACAGAGGTACTTCTTCATCTTACAGGACGATAGTTTGTCAGCAACTAAATATACATTATATACATGTATAGCCAAACTAGCAACTTGATAAAAATCAGTTTGCTTTCAACACAACATCTTCCAAGCATTGATATTTCAGCATTAGAGAATAACCAGTCTTGAAGGAATAAAAATGCATGGTGTAAGGAAAATAGCAATGGGATTCTGCATTTGACCTTTGCAGTCATACTTTGAGTTTTACTAGATTAGGCTGAGCTTTGCTTTTGCTAGGTTTTATGACCATAGTCTGGGTAAGTTATTGTATAAAAGCAGGTGATACCTGGGCTCTGATGTAGGCAATGGGTCTTCTCAGTAGGGTGATTTAATGAGAATATGGTTAAAGCAAAGTCTTTATGTCTAATATCAAAATAAACTCTTTCATTACCTGAATATGACATCCCAATGACTACCTGATCACTATTCTAAATGTTCAGTATTGAAAGGCCTCATGTGGAAAAAGATTGTTAACAATACAAATTGTGAGTGACTATCTAAAAATTAAAAAAATCACTTTCATTAACAATCTTTGGTCTCTTCTTATGCTCAACTACAACAAAACCTTTCAATATAGCTGGAAGTGTTTCTCAGAGCCAAATTCCAAGAGAAGGTGTTCAAAGATCTTGTGTAAGAGACCACTCTGCTCTGTCACCAACAGAAGAGTGAGTCACCATGTCCATAAATGGAGCATAGCCCAAAATGTGCTTTTGCAATGAATCTCGGCAAACCTAAGTTTTCCCTGCTGAAGGAGAGGTACAGTCTTTTGTTTTGGCATTTTGGTACATGGTTTTCTATGTCACTGTGTTATGGGGTGCATTGGTTGGGTAGCTTGGAATGGTAGAGTGCTCTGTGGAGACTTAGGCTGAGACTCCTGACTCAGGATATAGAGACTGCATGATTTTGGCTGGTCATTTACCTTATCCAGGACTTGTTTGCAAATTGTACAGTACCCTCCTTTATCTTTTACAACTTGGAAGGCTTATGATGTGCCCACATCGATCCTCAGAAGACAATGGCCAGGAGCTTCCTACGTGATGGTAGAGTATCTCTGAGACAATTGCTTTCAAAATTCACTCTGCATCTTACCTGGGTAAAGTTCTGTCAGGCTTGGTCTGGTTTCTGACAGCTATATTTAGCAATGGGCAGTAGACTTGGCATGGCATGTGCAGAGCATGTCTAGACAAAGCCACCAGATTTCATCATAAACATGTGTATCAGTAAATGCCTTCTCCTGGAGACAGAGATTAGACTGGATGACTCTGTTTTCAGAATTTCAGCCATTGGGAGGGGTCCCCACCCTTTCCACTCCCTCCTCCTGCTTCTTACATAGGGCATTAGGGCACCATGTGTGGAAGAGGACTTGATGAAGCATTCCCTAAAAGAGGGATAAGAATTGGGAAATCTGGGGCAGGAGAAATGGCTCAGCAGTTAGGAGCACCAACTGTTCTTGCAGAAGACCCCGGTTCGAATCCCAGAACAGCACAGCTAACAGCTGTCTATAACTCTAGTTCCAGGGGATCCAACAACCTCTTCTGTCCTCCACAGGCATTGCACGACAGGGATGCACTTACATGCATGCAGGTAATACACACATACACATAAAATAAAAATAATAAAACAAAATATTAAAAAAAAGAATTGGGAAGCCTGCTGAGACCAAAATTGGACATCATAGGATATGTGCCTGATGATTAAGTCCCATATTCCAGCAGGAACACAAGTTCTTTGCGCTGGATGCTAGGATGCTGGGTAAGAGCTCAGGATCATGCACACTTTTGCAGGGTCTTCATGCCTGCTAGACCTGAGTCTGGCTGCTACAGCTCCTGTGATCCACTCTAAGAATTCACAATCCCTTCTTGGGGTAGATTCTGGTCCAGGATTGCTGGTCCTGGGCTATCTCCGTCTTGGGCAGCTCAAAGACCCAGAATCAGCTTGTCTGCTTTCTCCTTGTTAGGAGCTCTGACCTGCAGGAAGGTAGGTTTTATTTATTGCAGTTAAGAAGATGAATGGGCCTACTTACCTCATATTTCCATAACTCATATTTCTATGCATCAAGATATACTCATTTTATGGTTATGGTTTGGTTATGAGGTATTTTCTAAAAGGCTCATGTATCAGAGATTTCATCTTGGGTTGATTGGACCAATTACTGAAGGATGATTAGAATTCTGACTCAATGTATAGATTAATCCATGATGATTCATAACAATGACATTATTGGGAGGTGACAGAAACTTTTGAAGATGGTCTCTAGCTGGAGGTAGTGAGCATTAGGAAGGAGCTTGTCCTTGGGAACTGTATTGTGTCCCAGGTCCTTCTGTCTCTTTCTGATTCCTGGATGCCATGAAGTAAGCAGTTTTTTGTGCCTGAATGAACATGCTGAAAGTGGTGATGAGAAAACTACCCATAAAAAAAGTGATTTGCTGTTTTTACTTTTCATTCTATGTGTGTATTTTATAGAGAAACCCAGTGTCCACTTTGAGTGGGGTCTGCCTCTTAGGGCACCCAGACATCTCATTTTGCCTATGACCAATGGTGGTTCATGTGGTAGGAACACTTTGTGCTTGAACTAGGAAAGTTCTGGGCAAATCAGGAAAAGTTAATAACTTGCCTGACACACTGTCCTACGCTGGTGTAGTTTTCTGTTCTCCCTATGCTGAGTGGTTGTTAGAGCAGCATCAGCTATTTGGCCTCAAAGCCTAAAGTTGCATGACACATCTCATCTCATTCATACCTTGTTAGGGAGTTGTGCACTTTCTTTTTAGAACATGCACTCAAGACATAATTATATCAAAGTGTCAGTTTCTAGAGAGAACGGTGTCTTCACAAAATGATACTATCTTCCGTTTGACAAATGTCCTGACCTTTTCATTTTACTTCACTTATGCTCACCATCATTCTCCCTGAGAGATATTTGGTCATACAACCTTTTTGAACAAAAGAAAATGTACAAAAGGAAAAATTAATGCCCACAGAATGCTCACTTAGAGCTGGGTATGTATGGTAGTGGTAGAGCTTGCTAGTACTTGCCTTGTAGGTACCAAGCACTGGATTCAGTCTCCAGCAACACACGCACACATAGCTACATGCACGCATATGCATACACAATATCCATTCATAGAAGTCTTATGTAGCAGGCATCACTGTTGCTGTTTAAAAGACATCAAAACTGTGGTTCAGAGAGTGGTGCAACTCACCTAAAGTCACAAAGCTTTAGAAGTTTGTAAATTTGCAATCCAGTTCCTTTGCTCCTGCCCCTATGAATACTGCATGCCCTCATTTGTGAAGGTTCATAGCTAAGGTCTGCCCTTCGTCCCAGATGAACCTTTCTCTATAGGGCTGCGATCTGGAACAATCCATTTAAGTTCTTTAATCCCAAATTTTCTCGGATAAAATGCTTCTCATAATAATGAGTTTGTAGTGTTATTTAAGAATTAACATGGGGCGTGAGAGATGGCTTAGCGGTTAAGAGCACTGACTGCTCTTGCAGAGGACCTGGGTTCGATTCCCAGCACCCACATGGTGGCTATGAGCCATCCTTAACTCCAGTTCCAGGGGAATCTGAAGCCCTCTTTTGACCTCTGTGGCATTGCACGATGCGGGTGCACTCACATACACGCAGGTGATACACTCATACATATAAAATAAAAATAATAAAATATTTTTTTAAAAAATTAACACAAATACCTAGCTGCGGATAAACAGTAGATAATGAATGCTATCTCCTGTTGTCTTTAGTGCTGTCCATGAGCATAAGCTTCAGAAGGCATACGCCCAGATATCTTTTCTTGTTTTTTTGTTTGTTTTATTTTATTAGCTCCTTGTAAACATCCAAATTTTTCATTCTCTTCAGAAGGCTGTTTTGCCTCACAATGCTTTCTTTCATCTCCTACCAACACAGTGTGTGCTTTGATGGCAAACAGCCCTTGGGCTAGGTGGCCCTGGGACCTATCAGACCTCCTTCTGTATTTTCTCTGCTCCCCAGTGGAATGATCAGACTGGGATTTTTGGCAGGAACTGGGGCACAGGGTCAGGTTTCACACTTCTTAAATCTCTAGAGAACATTACCATCAGACCATTGCAGTTGGGGTTTGTATCCTCTGCCAGCTGAAAATTCTAAATGCCACGCCCATGAGTTCCTGCAATCAGTGCCTGTATATAAGCCTGCTCCAGATGAGCAGCCAGCAAAGGACCCTCATCACTTAGTTCTTACTTCTTTGTGTGATGAAACATTCAAAATCTAATTTTAGGTCAGTAAAATTTCTATTCTGGTGACATATTTTGGTCCCTGTTTTGAATGAGCATTTTAAACAGTACATATTTTTCTCATAATGGATTCCAAGAAAGCTAACTCAATCATCCATAAGGTTTCTCTGAATTCTTTGTACTAGAGATCATGAGAAATAACATTTTTAAGGAGACTCCTTATTTGATTGGTGCTTTAGTTTTTAGATATCTTAAATTATACTTTCTTGGAAAACAGAGACATTTTGTTCCTTAGATGAAGTGAAGCTCATTTTCCACTGTTCTAGGAGGATGACTGACCTCTAAAAGTTCAAGATGACAGTTGCCTGTAATCCGGAAAGTGGCTCCTGACTTCAAGGCCAGCCTAGACTACAAAAATCAAAAACACACAAAAGGGGCTGGAGAGATGGCTCAGCGGTTAAGAACACTGGCTGTTCTTGGAGAAGACCTGGGTTTGAATCCCAGCTCCCACATGGCAGCTAACAACTGTTTGTAATGCCAGTTCCAGGGGATCTGACAGCCTCTTCTGACCTCCGCAGGCACTGCATGACATGGGTGCACTTACCTACATGCAGGTCATACACGCATACACATAAAATAAAAAATAATAAATAAAATATTTTTTAAAAATCACACACACACACACACACACACACACACACACACACACACACACACAAGCTTAATGCCAAGCAATCTCTTCTTTCATTCCCTCACAAGCTGGTGATGACTATGGAACTGATGGGATATCTAGTTGCCTTAGAATCTTGGCATGTCTTAGCAGACATGCAACATACATACTTTACACTTAAATAAAATGACATAAATTAAGTCCATCCTAAGTGCTTGATACTACGAGGGAGATTGCAGTTCAAGTTACAGGCTTATAGTCCTGATCTTTTCCAAATTATATCCATTTCTCATAGTAATTGATGAGGTTTCCAACCTTAGATCTCTGGCCTCCACAAAGTAATGGCTTTTGCACCTGGCTCAAACTGACTTTGTAGGTGCTTAGCATGGGAGGATCCCCTTTTACTAAACATACAGATGGCCTCTCAGTTTGTAGACTGAAATTACATTTTAAGATTGCATGCATTTATGTCTCATTTTAGCTTATTTGCTTGAAAGCGTAACTTATTTTATAGATAAGCCTTGTATATTGGCAAGTTGACTCAGGAAGCAAAAGGAACAGCTAAAGATGAATGCTGATGTACCATTGCTTTTCCACTTTACCCCATTTCCCATCTGTTAATTTAGATCTTCTGTCAGGAGAGCTGTACTAGTCGTAGCACAGAAAGGAGACTATTTGATGTTTCTACTTTCAAAAATCACTCTATTCCTGGTATACAAGGATGTCCAAACTCTTCAAGAAAAAGGAAACATTGCCTTATGTTATAATTTCTTACCTCGTTTGGTCAAATTTCACCATCACTTTCAACTGTGCATCTATCAGAAATAGCTTTTTATTCTGTCTCCAGGTTGTAAGGAGAGAGATCTCTGGGAGTGTCCATCTAATAAGCAATGTCTGAAGCACACAGTAATTTGTGATGGGTTTCCAGATTGCCCAGATAGCATGGATGAAAAGAACTGCTGTAAGTGCCTTCATGAACTTATCAATACAGTATTTTATTTCAAACACCAATTACTTTGCTTTGAATACAAGCTAGAAATGTGGAAATACATATCAAAAGCTTCTAGTTTGTTTAGAGCTTTAACCAAATTTATATCTGTAAAAAATATGGCAAGAAGACAAATGCCTGTAAAATACATAATATTATTCTAACAATGTTTATAATATAAAAAATAAAACACCCCCAAATACCCCAAAATGGGAGACCTAAAATGCAATCATAAGATAAAGTACTGTAGAAATAACCTCAAACTGGAGAGGAATGCTTTGGCCTGGGTTCATTACGTGTATTTAGTTGATATGCTAGTTCATTTCCCATTAGTTAACAAGATACCTGATGTAATCTGCTTAGGAAGTTGGATCTGTTTGGACTCACAGTTTGGGCAGTTCATGGATGGTAGACTCATTGTTTTGAGTTTATGGTAAAGCATATCATGGAAGACTGGGTATAGCAGAGAAAGCCCATTCACCCCAAGGCTGTGTGAGAAGAGGAGGGACTGTGTTTCTCAAAGACACCTTCAGTGACTGGAGGAGCGCCCTCTAGGATCCATTTCTTAGCATTCTACAGCTTTCTGATAGCATCACAGGCTTGGGATCAAACCTTTATGAAGTGTGCCTTTAAAAGACACTTATCCTAACCATAGAATTGAATACAACAAAACATACAATAATGTGTGGACTATTGTTCCAAATTTTAGAAGTAAATATATATATATATATATA